TAAGCGTTATTATCATAAAATATTATGTACCTTGCAGGGCAAGAACCTCCCTACGAAAAGCATTATTATCATAACAGCAGACTGTGTATCCCTCTGCTTAACGATATAATCTTTACAGGGGAAGTACCGCCCTTCGATAAGTGTTATTATTATCATTACAGGTTAAGTACTTCCCTCCAATTAGCGTTATTATCATTACATGTGACGTACTTCCCTCAGATAAGCGTTATTATCATAACAGGACGATTACTTCCCTCACATAAGCGTTATTATCATTTCAGGTGAAGAACTTCCCTCAGATAAGCGTTATTATCATTACAGGTGAAGTACTTCCTTCTGAAAAGCATTATTATCATTTAAGTGAAGTACCTCTTTCCGATGAGCGTTATTATCATTACAGGGGAAGTACCTCCCTTCAATGAGCGTTATTATCATTACAGGAGACGTACCTCCCTCCAAAAAGCATTATTATACATACAGGTGAAATACCTCCCTCTGACTAAAGTTATTATCATCACAGGTGAAGTACCTCCCTCAGATAAGCGTTATTATCATAACAGGACAAGTACTTCCCTCAGATATGCGTTGTTTTCATTACAGGTGAAGAACTTCCCTCCGATAAGAGTTATTATTATTATAACAGGTAAAATACCTCTCTCAGATAAGCGTTATTATCATTTCAGGGGAAGTACTTACCTCCGATCTGCGTTGTTATCATTACAGGGGAAGTACCTCCCTCCGATAAGCGTTATTATCATTGAAGGGGAAGTACCTCCCTCCGATAAGCGTTATTATCATTACAGATGACGTACCTCCCTCCGAGAAGCGTTATTATCATTACAGGTGAAGTACTTCCCTCCGATAAGCGTTATTATAATTACGGGGGAAGTTCCTCTTTCAGATAAGCGTTATTATCATTACAGGTGAAGTTCCTCCCTCTGTTAAGCGTTATTACCATTACAGGGGAAGTACTTCCTTCAGATACGCGTTATTATCATCACAGGAGAAGTACTTCCCTCCGATAAGCGTTATTATTATTATTACAGGTAAAGTACCTCTCTTAGATAAGCGTTTTTATCATTTCAGGGGAAGTACTTACCTCCGATCTGCGTTGTTATCATTACAGGGGAAGTACCTCCCTCCGATAAGCGTTATTATCATTGAAGGGGAAGTACCTCTCTCCGAAAAGCGTTATTATCATTACAGATGACGTACTTCCCTCACATAAGCGTTATTATCATTTCAGGTGAAGTACTTCCCTCAGATAAGCGTTATTATCATTACAGGTGAAGTACCTCCTTCTGAAAAGCATTATTATCATTTAAGTGAAGTACCTCTTTCCGATGAACGTTATTATCATTACAGGGGAAGTACCTCCCTTCAATGAGCGTTATTATCATTACAGGAGACGTACCTTCCTCCAAAAAGCATTATTATACTTACAGGTGAAATACCTCCCTCTGACAAAAGTTATTATCATCACAGGTGAAGTACCTCCTTCTGAAAAGCATTATTATCATTTAAGTGAAGAACCTCTTTCCGATGAGCGTTATTATCATTACAGGGGAAGTACCTCCCTTCAATGAGCGTTATTATCATTACAGGAGACGTACCTCCCTCAAAAAAGCATTATTATACTTACAGGTGAAATACCTCCCTCTGACAAAAGTTATTATCATCACAGGTGAAGTACCTCCCTCAGATAAGCGTTATTATCAAAACAGGACAAGTACTTCCCTCAGATAAGCGTTATTATCATAACAGGACAAGTACTTCCCTCAGATAAGCGTTGTTTTCATTACAGGTGAAGAACTTCCCTCCGATAAGCGTTATTATTATTATTATTATTACAGGTAAAGTACCTCTCTCAGATGAGCGTTATTATCCTTACAGGAGACGTACCTCCCTCCAAAAAGCATTATTATACTTACAGGTGAAATACCTCCCTCTGACAAAAGTTATTATCATCACAGGTGAAGTACCTCCCTCAGATAAGCGTTATTATCATAACAGGACAAGTACTTCCCTCAGATATGCGTTGTTTTCATTACAGGTGAAGAACTTCCCTCCGATAAGCGTTATTATTATTATTACAGGTAAAGTACCTCTCTCAGATAAGCGTTATTATCATTTCAGGGGAAGTACTTACCTCCGATCTGCGTTGTTATCATTTCAGGGGAAGTACGTCCCTCCGATAAGCGTTATTATCATTGAAGGGGAATTACCTCTTTCCGATAAGCGTTATTATCATTACAGATGACGTTCCTCCCTTCAATGAGCGTTGTTATCATTACAGGGGAAGTGCCTCTCTCCGATAAGCGTTATTATCATTACAGATGACGTACCTCCCTCCGAGAAGCGTTATTATCATTACAGGAGAAGTACTTCCCTCTGATAAGCGTTATTATCATTACGGGGGAAGTTCCTTTTTCAGATAAGCGTTATTATCATTACAGGTGAAGTTCCTCCCTCTGTTAAGCGTTATTACCATTACAGGGGAAGTACTTCCTTCAGATACGCGTTATTATCATCACAGGAGAAGTACTTCCCTCCGATAAGCGTTATTACCATCACAGGGGAAGTACTTCCCTTACATAAGCGTTATTATCATTACTAGGTAAGCACCTCCCTCAGATAAGAGTTATTATCATTACAGGGGAAGTACCTCCCTCAGATAAGCGTTATTATCATTACAGTGGAAGTACTTATCCCTGATAAGCGTTATTATCATAACAGGTGAAGTTCCTCCCTCTGAAAAGCGTTATTATCATTACAGGGGAAGTACTTCTTTTAGATATGCGTTATTATCATTACAGGGGAAGTTCTTTCCTCCGATAGGCGTTATTATCATTACAGCGGACGTACCTCTCTCAGATAAGCGTTACTATCATTACAAGTGAAGTACCCCTCTTCAATGGGCGTTATTGTCATTACAGGGGAAGTACTTACCCCCGAGAAGCGTTATTATTATTACAGTGCATATATTTCATTATAATCTTTTATATTTTTCACAAATTTTATTTAATCAAGGAAATTCTAAAACTCGAAAGTCGCTAGACCAGTATGTCTCGTTTTTATCGCCACTGGTTGGCTATGACGGCTGCCCCTTGGCGAGCTCATTCACGCGAAAAGTAAATTACGTAATCATAGATAAAGTCGGCGGATACGTCCTCCCCGGACCTTGTTCTCTTAAAAAAAAGTTTTCTTACCAGCTGTCACAGGTTTTGACCATCATCTAAAACTGTAAATAATATCAACACCTGTTAGGCAATACTGAAACTGTTCTATTACCACCTGTTTTGTGTAGTCAACTTTGACAGCCTATGGCAGATAACATAGACGGAAATTACAACATCAAAGTAATTGTTAATGTGATTGGAGTAGAGCTGTGAGGGAAAAAACTCCTTTGGTGTTGGTCCTCGACACACTTGCTTGAATAACCCCTAAGGAGCTCACATCTCTCTCCTCTCTTGTTTTCAAGGCTAGCCCCCAATAGCTAATTCCCCATGTCGACGCCTGACAATCATTTGAATCACCACAAAGCTGTCTTATTATCAATATAGGTGAAGTACCTCCCTTCAATCAGCGTTATTATCATTACAGTGGACCCTCAGATAAGCGTTATTATCATTACAGGGGAAGTTCCTCCCTTCAATCAGCATTATTATCATTACAGGGGGAAGTGCCTCACTCAGATAAGGTAGCCGTGTGTTTAAGCGACTTGGGTACAATGTGTGAAGCCAATTTCTGGTGTCCACCGCCGTGATATAACTGGAATATACTTAAAAGCGGCATAAAACCTCACTCATTCAGATCAGCGTTATTATCATTACAGGGGAAGTACGCCCCTTCAATGAGCGTTATTGTCATCACAGGTGAAGTACTTCCCTCCGATAAGCGTTATTATCATTACAGGTGAGGTACCTCCCTCTGATGAGCGTTATTATCATTACAGGAGAAGTACTTCCCTGAGATAAGCGTTATTGTCATTACAGGTCAAGTACCTCCCTCAGATAAGCGTTATTATCATTACAGGTGTAGTACCGCCCTGTGATGAGCGTCATTATCATCTCAGGTAAAGTACTGCCCTGTTATAAGCGTTATTATCATTACAGGTCAAGTACCTCTTTCGGATAAGTGTGATTATCATTATAAGAGAAGTACTTCCCTTCAATTAGCATTATCATCATTACAGGGGAAGTACTTTCCTCCAATAGGCGTTATTATCATTACAAGTGAAGTACCTCCTCCGAAAAGCGTTATTATCATTACAGGGGAAGTACTTCCCTCAGATGAGGGTTATTATCATTAAAGAGGAAGTACCTCCCTCTAATAAACGTTTTTATCACTACGGGTGAAGCACCTCCCTTCACTGAACGTTATTATCATTACATGGGCAGTAGCTCTCTCAGATAAGTGTTATTATCATTACAAGAGAAGTACTCCCCTTCAATAAGCATTATCATCATTACAAATACAGTACTTTCCTCAGATAAGCCTTAATATCATTACAGGGGAAGTGCTATTATCAGTACAGGGGGAGTTCCTCTCTCAGATAAGTGTTATTATCATTACAAGAGAAGTACTTCATTATCACCATTACAAATGAAGTACTTTCCTCGGATAAGCGTTATTGTCATTACAGGTGAAGTACTTTCCTCAGATAAGCGTTAATATCATTACAGACCGCCTCCGTGGTCTAGTGGTAGAGCGTCTGCCCGGAGAGCGGAAGGTCCGGGGTTAAAAGATGGTACTTGTTGTTACCCTGTCTGGCGCTCGGCATTAAGGGGCTAAAACAAGGACTGGTCGGCTCGGAGTCAGTATACTGTGTCTGAGTGGAGTATTCATGTTAAACTGCGGCATGGTATCTCAGTGAGCTAGCACTATAAATCGGCATCAGTCCGGACTAGTACAAGCAACCACACACACACACACACACACACACACACACACACACACACACACACACACACACACACACACACACACATACACACGTGCATGCACGTCGCTTTATAAGTGCAATAATCTTGGATGCGACGTTAAACCCCATTTCACCTCACCTAATATCATGACAGGTGAAGTACCTCTCTCAGATAAGTGTTATTATCATTACAAGAGAAGTACTCCCCTTTAATAAGCATTATCATTATTACAAATAAAGTACTTTCCTCGGATAAGCGTTATTGTCATTACAGGTGAAGTGCTTTCTTCAGATAAGCGTTCATCTCATTACAGGTGAAGTAACTCTCTCAGATAAGCATTATCATCATTACAAAGGAAGTACTTTCCTCAGATAAGCGTCATTATTATTACAGTTGAAGTACCTCCCTCATTGAACAATTAAGTATTTTGAATAAATGAAGTTTAAGAGATTTCTATTGAACCTGTTTCCACTATGGCATTAAAATAACAGCTATTAAATGCCTCTCACTATTATTATGCATAACAATAGCAGGTAAAATACCTCTCTCCGCTATTCTGTAATTTATCATAACAGGTGAATTGCCCCACCGTTATTCTATATTACCATAACGGGTGAATTACACTTGTGCACTAACCTCTCCGTGTATACAATGCCACTACGTCAGCTTGACACCATCGCGGAGTTTACAAACACATTTAACACTCCACAGGTGTTGGTCTGGACATGAGCTGTTTCCGAAAGACTGGCGGGTTCTATCCCAACCCCACGTCCTGCGAGGAGTACTATGTTTTGTACCAGCGACAGGCTCCACAGATTCACGTGCCAGACTGGCCAGTTGTTCAACCCTCGAACAGGCAGTTGTGACAAGTCACAGAATGTCCAGTGTCACGTTGTCCGGCCGGCGGTCACTCCGACATCTCACCAACTTGGAGGTATACACATAAGGACACATCAGAACAGAAGTTAGCTCTCCTGTAATCACTGGAGGGATGCAGAGAACTACATCTAATGACGTTTAACCTGCCAGGTCACGGACAGTCACCTACGTAGTGAATGTCAACACTATCCACCTTCTTGTCCTTCATTGACTTTTGCTTTACACTTTTGCTTCACATCCTCTCCAAACTAAAATATATGTTCACTTCTATTCAATACTGAACAAAAAATGATATCCAAACAGTTACCCCAATGTCCATCGTACCTGAAGTGTGTAACCATCGGGCTCAAGTACTTATCTGAAATATTGTACTAGTGGTCGTTTTGGGGTTTTGTTTCATGAGTACCATGTTTATCGGACCATGTCTTCTCTGTTTAGGGTCATTCTGTGTCGGGAAGCCAGATAACTTCTACCCCAGTCCTGACTCATGTGACCATTATTACATCTGTGCCAACCAGTCGGCCATTCAAGCTACCTGCCCCTATGGTCTGCTTTACAGTCCGACCAAACAATACTGTGACTTGCGTAGCAGAGTGTCATGCCTGCCTGGTCAGACAGTGCCTCCATACACCACGCGTGCACTCCCTTCCAGGTGGCTCAAACCGACAACCGCAACATCTAAACCTACACAGTTACCTGCTTCTACATCCTCAGGGAAGTCGGCAATATCCACGCTGCCAACGACAACTCTGAATCCAGGGACGGCCTACTCCTGTAAATGGTTGAATTTCTCCATTGATGGTTACCACATGATTACCACATGTGCCCATGTCATCTAATAACAAATACTTCTTTTATTTGAATCATTGGTTGCAATAATAACTATTTTTATCCCTTAAGTGATGACTTTATCGTAACTTGCACACAATATCGGTCAAAGCATGTATGTATGATCAAATACTATTATCGTGCAATAACCTTCAACATTGCATTAACATACATATTTCTTCAAACACATATATGATAGAGATGATAACCCGATATTGCATTTTCCAGCCATCTGCCGCAACCAGCCGAACTCCTTGATGGCAGCCCCTGGTACGTGCAGGAAATATATTCAGTGCTACTACCAGATGGCTGTAGCGAGGACCTGTCCAACCGGAACGGCCTTCAACAAGATGATTCAGGCGTGTGACTTCCCTTACAAAGTACCTGGCTGTCACTGAACCAACGTGTGCCACCACCATCTCTGGGAGTCGTGCAGCTGTACCACCACCATTTCTGAGAGTCGTGCAGCTGTACCACCACCATTTCTGGGAGTCGTGCAGCTGTACCACCACCATCTCTGGGAGTCGTGCATCTGTACCACCACCATCTCTGGGAGTCGTGCAGCTGTACCGTCACACCACTGGCAGTCGTGCAGCTGTACCACCACCATCTCTGGGAGTCGTGCAGCTGTATCACCACCATCTCTGGGAGTAGTGCAGCTGTACCGTCACACCACTGGGGATCGTGCAGCTGTACCACCACCATCCATGGGAGTTGTGCAGCCCTACCACCACCATCTCTGGGAGTCGTGCAGCTGTACCACCACACCACTGGGAGTCGTGCAGCTGCATCACCACCATCTCTGGAAGTCGTGCAGCTGTATCACCGCCATCTCTGGGAGTCGTGCAGCTGTACCACCACCATCTCTGGGAGTCGTGCAGCAGTTTAACTTCTCAAAACAATCAATGTAAAATAGCTTGTCTTTGTCACTACGTTCAATAAAATATGTCCTATCGTATTTGTGAAACCTTTATTTGCACCTTCCACACACCTCTATTAGTACCATCATGGAACTGACGCTTATTATACATGAGTATAAATCTTGCTTAACTATCGATGTGATTTGTTAGACCCGTTGTCAAGAGATCATTTGCAAGGCTTTTTGAATGAAACTAACAACGGGCTGCCTGGAAGTGTTAGAGACACACGTAACGTTGACTATGACTAAACTGACGGCCAAAAGAAACGTTACCAACGATATTTCTAGGATAAAATATGACCAACAGAATTTGAAGCAGCAATAATAATTGCATTGTAGAAATTCATCATTCAGAACAGTAAAATGCGAATTTACTAATTCAACAACGTCCTTGACCTCCAACAGGGACATTTCTTGACAAGGGGTCTTTCGTCCAGTATTCGATCAACAACATTGGTTACCGTTCAATACGGGATATGACTCTATGAGCGGCAATGCATCTTCGAATGCGGCGTCAGAAATGAGTAGACAAGCGTCCTCACATCGACTGCAGGTATCCGATTCCATTCCTATCGGAGGGCAACGAACAGAATAATACTTCAAACACGTCAAAAGTTAAAACGTATGAATTTAATACCATACAACGGTCTACCTTTAGAATTCAGGCGTCCGTTCCACAAAATTATCGTAGCGTTAAGGTTATCGCAACTCACATACTTAAACTTAGACCAACGACTGTCGTTGCGCTACAGCACGATCGCCTTGTGGAACGGGGCCTTGCACCTCAAAGTTTACAATCATGTCACAATACCCGATGACGTAATTTGTGGAATTTTGTTGCAAGATCCTTCGGCGAAACAATGCCATGTGACGTCAGCCTAGCAACAAGGTTGCTGGGGTCATCGAGTGTGCATAAACTCCTCTCAGTGATCTATCATCTCCACACGCAATGTCGTTCAATAAGCCAAAGGATGTTGAGAGCTTTCAATATTTTTAGTGAAACGTGTTCCGAGAGAACATAAGCACGCGTTTTGGTATTACACAATGTGTAATACAGCTGTATGTTTATTAAACGGATGATCTCTTCACGGGCAAGTCATAAAAGTTATTATCCGTGAAGAATTTGTCACTGAACAAAAACAGTAGTCCAGTCAGACGAACAGATGTTCACTTGTCAGCAAATGTGATGACGTAGACCCAATTTCCATTGTGTGGTTCTCAACCAGCTGTGCGCTAAGGCGTGTTGCAGGCTAGTTATAAAAAACACAATAGTGCTTGCACCATCATATACGTGCAATAAAGTTAAAATGAGAGACAAAACTACATTAACTTCGTACCTTTATTAAACCCAAGCCATTACAAGAACATTATTCTCATAGCATGCATATTTCCACAACTGCTAATTGAAGTGCAGAGTGCAATGCATTATTCCAATATATTACAACACGATGTTGATGAAATAATGTACACATTTAATAACTTTAAAATACAGGCGCACAGATCGGGTTACAGGTATAGCGGTCCCTGTCGACAGGCGTCCAACTGCTGAACGAGGAATATCAGGAGAGAGCAGATCTGACCATCTCGCCAAAAGTGTCGTACAATATTCTACAGGAGTCTGTCCATCACGCCTACAGGGTCTTGCAGTATTTTACAAGGGTCTGACGATCAAACCAACTGTGTCTTACAGTACTCTACAGGGTCTACGTTTTCTCCATGAGGGTGGGTAACTAGTTGTGACAGCAGACAGCCAGGAGAGGCAATGGTTGTTGTTGGTCGAATATGGTCAAAGTTTTTACGTCATAGTGGAAGGTGGCGCATGTATGAAGATGCCTACATAGTCAATGGCCATATCAGAATATGTTGGTAGGGTTGCACGATGCAGTCAAACTAAACGTTATCATATATTGGAAAGCACATTTATGAAAGGTTGCCATTTTACGTATATACTGTAACGTTAATGCTGGACAGTAATATCTTTGTACATTTACAGTTGGGTGTTTCTCATCTCGGGAAGTCCCAACACCACACGGTGTAGTCCTTAACCATTCCATGCCTTCCTTTTACGTGAACGTTGCAAGTGCACAACATGTAACTGGCCCTGGCTTGATTCACGTGAACAGACACATGTTTGCGAGCTCGTCTTAGATAAACAAATCAGTCATGCAGGCGCCAGAGCTTCCATGCATGCTTTATATTCAATGTCATATTGGACAATGTTTGTCTCAAGGGGTTACAGCTATCGTTATATAATTACCCTCAGTCACAGGTTTCCGTCTGTGTCGAACCCAAGTCCACGTTAATGATATAGGATCCCTGTTGCAATGAAAACTTTTGATTTGCTACGTAACCATCCTGTGTTTTTCTGAAATGTAGAATACGATGTCGCCGAGACAAGACGTGGGGGAAGCAGGGTTGTCCGTTGATCCCAATCCCAGGATGAAAGCTGAGCAGGAAACGACCAGGCCACCGATGGTGATCGTGTGGCGGAATGTGTTCCTGTCCTTTATGATGAATGCATTGGCCGTGTACGCCCTCACACTCATCCCCAAGGCGATGTGGAGGACTACACTGTGGGGTATGTGCGCTATTCTACCTCTGACTTAAGAATTGACTTTCACATTGTGTGACCTCATTGGAGTATGAACCTTCATACAATGAGGGTCGGAGCTTGCGACGACGTTCATACAATGAACTCACATAGAATGAAAGTCAGTTGTTATAATGTTTCAGATCACTATTTTATACCTCGAGGGATGTAAAATCTTGCTTACACTGACAGCCATACAACAACCACCTGTATCGCGGGAACAACGTTCCCCCAAAAGAGGTGAGGTGAGGTGAAATGAGGTTTAACGTCGCCTTCCAAGATTATTGCACTTATATAGCGACCTTACGACACTGAGCTACCATGCTGCAGTTTAACATGAATACCCCACACAGACACAGTATACTGACTCCCAGCGGACCTTGTTTTAGCCCCAGGCAGGGTAACAACAAGTACAATCTTTTAACGTCTTTTGGTATAACGCGACCGGGGATCGAACCCTGGACCTCACATAAAGGGAAAGTCAATTGTTATATTGTCACTATAGATCACTATTTTATACCTCGAGTGATGTACCGCGAAATCTATACCAGTGCCATCTGTCTTACACTGACAGCCATACAACAACCAGCTGTATCGCAGAAAAAAGGGTTTCCCAAAAAGAATATGGAATGTGCACGTGCAGCGGTGATACAAAATTGCAAAATACCTTTTCTGGGTACCCTACAAATGCATGTACAGAAATTGTATAACATGCAATGGATTGTTGGACGCTACAGGTAATGTACAGGTAACAACAGATACGCCATGTTTAACTACACACCACAGAGAGAGGGAGGGCCGTAAAACTGAGGCAAATGAGTGCCATCCACACCCAGGTTGCAAGAAACTTCAACTGTATACATACAACCGTCGCCAGACTGTTTGAACGTTAAACCCTAGTCACACTAGAGCCGGAATGAGACGGAATGCCGTCCGAATGATAATTCTTTCAAAATTGTTTATTCCTGGATATTAAAAACATTCTTAAACTTCTGACTGCATTCTGAGAGCATTCCAAATATTCGGGCCCATTCGTGTGGCCGACCCGAATGTTTTGCTCATGCTCGAAACTTTCTCATGCTTTCGAAGTGGAGAAATATCGAACGGCATTCGAAGTGTATTCTAACTGCTCTCTGGCTGCATTCTGTCCCCATTTCACTACGACCACAAATATCCCGAATCACCCCGAATAGGATATTTTTCATGTTCGTAGATAAATCTCAATGATTCCCAACCATTCGTACAGTTCGCGGGAGTTCGTCGAATCGACGAGAAAGTTTTTGTTTGTCAAAATCTTTCGTGGAAGGGTCCCCGAATTGCAATTTCGTGGCTGTATCATAATCCATTCGTAATTAATTCTTATGTTCTGTAACAGCTTCGTAATCGATGCTTTTGCATTCTTGGCATTTCTAATACTACTATTCCACACAGACCACGAATCCCGTGAATTGATAAATTTTAGGATTCGTAGTTGAATCGTAATCAGTTCGTTAAATTCTTAACTGATTCGCATATATTCTTAGTTAGTTCTTACAATTCTTGAGCTATCGGGAATTCGTGGCAAAAGTTTTGAGCTGTTCAAAGTTTTGGCCATGAACTCCCGATTCAAAAATATCGTAGTTAGTTCGTAACAAATTCGTAATGCATTCTTAGGCATCGTAACTGAATCGTAATCGATTCGTAGGCATTCTTAGGTATTCTTAGCTCATTCGGGGATTCGTGAATTCGTGGCTTTACGACGAATATTCTACGAATTCCACGAATACACGCCGAAGCTATCTTGAGGGAAACGCCATAAATTGTCAAGAATAGTCACGAATTCATTTTTATTCGTACCTGATTCGTACATGCATTCGGCGTATTCTTAACTGATTCGTAACTGATTCCTAACTTTCGTGCAGTATTCGTAATAGCTTCTTGTAAATCGTAGTGAATTCTTGACAATATTCATGCGAATCCAGCCGAATCCCACGAATATTTGTAACTCTATCGTACCTGTATCGTAACTAGATCGTAGAGCGTCACGAATTGAACAAGAATATTTGCTAAATTCCACGAATCCTCACGAATCCTAAAATTTACAAATCGTGGCGATTTGTGGGATTCGTGGTCTGTGTAGCATAAGCGATTCGTGGCTCTCAAAATCTCTTGTCCTCAACCCGAAACCATCCCGAAACAGCCACGAATGTCCCGAATCAACTACGAATCATTGTAAGAATTCAGTAACATTCGGCATATTCGTAACTTAGTCGCAGGTGATTCTTACAACATGAATCTTGTAATTGTTTCTCAACCCATTCCTGGCATTCTTCATATTTTCCATCCCGATTAACCACGAAAGTTTGCATTATTGGCCGAATCATCACGATTTTCCGATTCGGGGTGATTCGGGATATTCGTTGTCGTAGTGAAAGAGGGGGCATAAATTTTCTTACGGCATTCCAACAGCATTCGAAACATTCTGATCGCATTCGAGGGAGAATCGAAACGCCAAGCCACTTCAAATCCTGCCAGAGTGTATCGAATGCACCGCGAATGAGCCGGAATGCACCTCGAATTAGCCGTAATGCACCTCGAATGAGCCGTTATGCGCTTCGAATGCATCTCGATTGCTGACGGAATCTATTTGATATTAAAAGCATTCAGCTGGAATGCACTTCGAATGCCGTCAGAATCTTTTGATTGCCGCTCAAATGCGGCTCAAATGCAGTCGGAACGTCCCGATTGGCCCGCGAGGGAGTCCGGGCGTAATTCAGAACACCGCCGAATCGCATAAAATGCGGCCAGCTGCTGCTAGAAATCAGTCTGCATTGAATTTATATGAAACTATAAAATACTCACACGCAAAAGAAATGCAAGTGGTTTTAAGCAAATAGGTAACAAACACGGAACCATAAATTGATACGAGTTTTAGCATGTAGTGAAGCCTGATGGTGTTATCAATATTTTTGGTTGCATTTTGGAAGCCCCGAGTAAAAATGCAACATAAAAAACGAATCGCCAAAACGCACCATGTAAATGAATATGTGGGTATCATGCACCCATTTCTCGCGAAATCGAAAAACACGAACTGTCACGAACTGTAGTGGCATTAAAACTGTGGCCGATTCTTGGACCTACCACTCCTTGGTCAACAATGCCACGCCTAACTCAAATTCAGAGAAACCAGGCTATCGGACGTTTTGAAGCTGGAGAGTCTGTCCAAGATGTTGCCCGTCATTTCAACGTTAACATAACCACAATTTACCGTCTCCTGCATCGATAGAATGCAACACAGACCAAAGATGACCTTCCTCAGAGCGGTCGTCCTAGGGTCACCAAACCTCGACAAGATCGGCAGATTAGCCGTCAACACCAGCGACATCCGTTCCTAACTGCATGTGAAACTGCTCGAGAGACCTTAGGAACACATATTTGACACATTAGCCGGGACACTGTGATCCGACGTCTCCGTTCCAACAACCTCAGATGTCGCTGACCAGCACGTCGTCCTGTTCTCCAACCACGGCATCGACAAGCACGACTTCAGTGGGCACAGGGTCATCACAATTGGCGTCATCTTGAGTGGAGGCGTGTCATCTTCTCTGATGAAAGTCGCTTTTGTGTCTCCCATGCAGAAGGAAGAGTCAGAATTTGGCGGCGTCGAGGTGATCGTTTCGCTGACAGAAACGTTGTGGAAAGGGATCCATGGGGTGGACCTAGCGTCATGATATGGGCAGGGATTGGACTTAATGCGAGACTTGGACCCATGTGCTTTCTGAATGTTGGTCAAGGTCGGGGACACGGGGTCACTGCTCAGCGGTATATCGACCAAGTGATCAGACCCTACGTTGTTCCATCTTTTGCACAACATCAACACATTTTCCAGCAGGACAACGCTCGTCCCCATGTTGCCAGAGCTACCATGGCCTTTCTGCAACAACACAACATCTGTGTTCTACCGTGGCCAGCCCTCAGCCCTGATCTGAACCCCATCGAACACTTGTGGGATGAGGTTCAAAGGTGTCTGCACAATGTGCGCCCAGTCCCTACAACTGCCGATGAGCTACGCACAGCTGCTCTGGGTGTGTGCAGGAGGATCCCCAGGGCCTTCACAAATCGTCTGATCCACCCAATGTACAGGAGATGTGTGGCAGTGATCAATGCTAATGGTGGTAACACCAGATATTGACTGACATTTTGGGTATTGACCCGAAACTGCAAGCCCTTAATATTTGAAAAAAAATTTATGTCATCTGCCTTTTAATCAATTAAACTGTCTTCAGTCAAATGTTTTGTCAATCTTGCCCTAATAGTATTTCTTGTCTTTACTGTTGAAAATGAATAACATAGATACTGCGCATGCATACTCGACTTGCGTTTCTTTTGCTTGTGAGTATATAAACTAATAAAGTTAGAATAAAATGTAAATGACCCTGGAACTTCATTGGTAAACAGATACTTTGAGAACAAATGTAACATTTATTTTATTTCTCTCCCATTTAAAGCTGAATGTGTTATAATAATAACACACTACTATTATTGTGTCATAATTAAATAAGAAACAAAAAGCAATTATTACTTCTATTAATGATAACAATTGATTGGCAAGACAACAAATCCAGTGTACATATGTCATGTCATCCTCTTATCGGTCTCTTATCCATCACTCATCCTGTTCTGCCATGGCACGGCTGCTACTGGGTTGTTGAAGCAATGCTTGAGGATCTCCGGCTGCCTCTTACCAGCCTAGGTGTCGCTAATACCTCCTGCAACACGCTGCACATATTCAAGCTGAAGAAATTGTCTCCAGGCTCCTGGCACCACGTTGTGCTTGTCATCTTCCTCATCAGCAGGATAACGGATCCTCAACAAGCCGGCTGGCAGACACAACATTCAACGATTTCCTGTGCAATGGATGGGCCTTGGCTGCATTGTGGTGAGAAGGACCTGCCATCTCTGGGCCAGGATTCCAAATGCATTCTCCACCACACGTCGGCCCCTGGAGA